TTAAAACTTCTTTATGTCTTATAGGGTTTATACTGACTTCAACATTGTATAACTGTATTAATTCAACTGTGAACCTAAACATTTACAGCCAGTTTTGAAAGAGATGCATCTTCATCTTTGCTCTGGAAATTGTTATTGAATATGTTAATGCCATAATGAAATGCTTCTTCTAATCATGTGGTTATTAAATAAATAATTTAAAAAAATTTCCCCCATATGAGAAACCACCTCTAGAAGAAGAAAGGCCCATTCTATCAAGTCATGGAATATGACTTTTTTTTAAAGGTTTTTAGTTAATATGTCAATGCTGCTGTAATGAAATGCTTCTTCTAAAAAAAAAAATTCATTAAAAAAAGTGTAAAATTAAAGGTCAATAAAAGGACAAAAAGAAAAAAAAAAACCCAAAACTCATCTAATAACAGAATTATATGCCATCCTAAGAAATAGAAACATCCTTGATAAACATGCAGGCTTTCAATTACAGAATTTTTTGTGTGTGGTCTTTTGGGGGCAGGGTCTCCCTGTAGCCCCAACTGGCCTGGCACTCGCTATGTAGACCTTGATCTCACAGAGATCCGCCTGCCTCTGCGTCCCGAGTGCTGGGACTAAAGGCATGTGCCATCACACCTGCTAATGACAGAAAATGTCTACCAAGAAGTCACTGAATTACTTGCTTCACCTTTTGGCTAAGGTCAAGTATAGAAGTCTTTGAGCCATTTCTAAAAGCAACCTGACAAAACAATAAAAAGAATTTAAGGACTATAGTACAACTAAGGAGAAAAAGCTGAAAAATGCACAGCTGTATTATATGCCATTAGAGCACCAGGTTTGTTTTGTTTTTTTGTCTTCTGAGATTGAAAATCTTTCTATAAATCCCAACTTTGTGCCAGTACTTTAATATTCTATGATCAGAGGATTCATAATCCCTCTATATCTTACTTGAAATTTTATTAAATTATCTTTAAAGTTCTCTTAAATTAAGAAGTATTAAGGAAGCTGGAATTATAAAATTGCCTGCAACTCATGACATTCTGTTTTCTTATTCTCTTCCTTAAGTTTCTTTGACCTTATACCAGTTCTAGTAACTTCAATAAGTCTCCTATCACCCAACAATTCAGAAAATTCATGTCAATTGTTTCTGAAACTTTGTAAATCTGTTACAAATGAAAGTCTTAGTAAGGCTGTACCTTACTGTGCTTTATTAAATACATCGAATGAGGATAGTAAGTTTTACCTAAGTGACTCTACATGGGAAAACATGATTATTTTCCTTCTCTGATTACCTCTCAGTGTCTCTCTCCTCCATCTACAGGATGCAAAACAAAACACCAGGCTTTCATACAAGACAAAATCATCTGTTATCTGGACCCTGGCTTTCTATCCAACTTTTCTCTACACATTTTTCTTTTCAAGATAAAGTCTTGGTGCATAGAGCAGGCTAGCCTTGGTCTTATGCCAACCCTCCCGCCTTAGCCTCTAGAGTGCTGAGATGCTAAGAATTATGTAAGCATGTACTCTACAGGAGTTCATTCTCTCTCTCTCTCTCTCTCTCTCTCTCTCTCTCTCTCTCT